AAGTTCTCATCACCAGAAAGAAATACACAGCTATTTTGGTGGTGAGTGTTAACTACACTTATTGTAGTCATCAGTTTGCAATATGTGCATATTTCAAATCATTATGTTGCACACCTAAAACTAATAGAATGTTGTATGTCAATAAAAATAAATTTAAAAGAATATTGGCTAATTTCAGTATCTTTCACCATCCTTCAACACTGGCCAGCCAAACATCAGCATCATCATTGGGTACCAAAATATATTTAAAAACTTATACAAAGCAATTTTATGTAAAATTGAGACCAGCTGCCCTGAAGCATAATTTTTAAAAGTGATTAAAGCCACATATCAAATACTGGATACATTATTTTTCTTTTGAAAAGCCGGAGAAGGGCAGGAAAAATAGAAGTAATAAGGTAATCATACATCATTTTGGAAACTAATTCAAAACAATATGATTTAGATTAGTAATCCAAAGAAAAATAATGGGCATAGTTGCTTATATTACAGCCCCCCTTTTCAGAGAAAATAATTTTTTAATACATAGCTCCTATTTCATAAAGAGAGTAGTTTGCTTAGGTGTCAGCAAAATCACAAGAATAAGGATTTGGGGGTCTTTTTAGCATAAGCTACATTGGTTCTGGCTCAAGTCTTTTTTTTTTTTTTGAGAGAGAGAGAGAGAGACAGCACGTGATTGGGGGTGGGGAGCAGAGAGAGAGAGAGAGAATCTCAAGCAGGCTCTATGCCCAGCACAGAGCCCGACACAGGGCTCGATCTCACGACCCTGAGATCATGACCTGAACTGAAATCAAGAGTCGGACACCTAACCGACTGAGCCACCCAGGAGCCCCTGAAGTCACTTTTTAAGCAAGTAGAACCATTATCATTTCAGTCTCGGAACGGGAATTGAGTCAGATAAGATAGCATCACTTCAAGTAAACCTAAAACCCTGGTGAGTTTCAGAAGACTTTAAAGAATATCTTGCCCACAGCAAACCATTCCATTTCTTTTTTTCTCAGATGAAATGGTGTCATCTCACTTCTTTTTTCTTCACTACATCAGGGTACTCTTTTAACTTGATCCTGTCTTATTCATGTTTTTAAATGTTTCAGTCATTTCATTGGACCAACTTCAGACAAGCTGTGGAGGCTATGGCTAATGATTCAAAAAGGATTGCTGGGGGGCATGTTTGTGGCAACCACCTTGGAGTAGAATCTAATTGAAGGATTAACGTTAAAGTACTGTCATTAATTATGAAATCCCTTGACCATTAGCAATATGCTGTTCAAGCAGGCAGTGAATCGGTGAAGTATGAATAAGGGCTGGCCAAATTCCTAGTGTGTACAGTTGGGACTGAATATTTTCTTGTTAAATAAATAGGGTTTTTTTTAGGGGGGGGCGGGGGTTGAACTTGTGGGCACAGGTATTATTAGATTTAAATACATTTCTGGGTTGCCTGTTGTAGCTACACATCAGTATATGATTAGAAAACCCATAAATATTGGTTTCTTTCTGGTTTGACATCTTACAACAATGTATCAGTCACCTATTGCCATGTGAAAAAATAATTACCAAATTCTCCAGTTACATATTTCTCATTTACGCATCTCTTGGTTGGCTGGAGTTCTGCTGCAGCTCATCTAGGCTTGACTCCAGGTTATGGGTTGGGTTAGGTCTCTTCTGCCTACGTCATCCTTCTTGGATCAGCAGGCTGTCTGGGCAATGTGCTCCTTTTAGCACCTAAGCACAAGAGGACAAGCCAGACCACCTAAGGACATTACAAAGCTCTCCCTCTATCTGCTAATGTTCCATTGGCCAAAGCAGGTCACATGACCTGGTCCAAATTCCTGCACGAGGGATGCATACTCTCCCCAATACTTGGCCACTCTGTTTTGTCTACACAAACTTCTTGGAGTTTGAGCAAGCCAGTCACACTCCCCTCTCAAGTCTTCACATTTGCTGTTCTCCTATGTATACATGGGTCACACCCTCGTGGACCTCGTGGGCCTCGTGGCCCAATTGTGCCTCATCAGTGAAGGCTTCCAAGACTCCCCGTTCCGAAGGTTCCTCACTCATCCTCTCTTCTAAAGGTTTATCGTCTGACATACCTATGTAACTTACTTATTTGTTTAGACCACGTACCTCCATAAGACTGTGAGTTCCATGGATATGGGGCTTTTTTGTTGTTTATTGCTATATCCCCAGCACTCAGAACAGTGCCTGGCACACAGTGGGCTCCTGATAAATATTTGTATAAATCAACTGATCTTACCGTTTTTTTTTAATTTGTATGGCTACTTTTTTAAGACATTTGAAAATCCGGCTCGGTGTCGTAGAGTCCAGTGGTGTTACTTGAATGTCAGGTGTCTTTTAGCAGTTTCAACTTTTCCAGCATAATTGACACAGAAAATATTAGCCATTAAGCATTTTTCAGTGTTGATTCACCTCTACTCATGCATACATGTGATAACTCTGATTTTGAATCTTAAAAGATTAGTTAAACCCAAAGGACTTTTTACTTAGAAAATCTTGAGAAAAGAAAAAAACAAGATTATACTTGACTCGTGTATGTACTATGTAGGATGGAATCTGCACTCAGAAAATGTTTGAATGGATACTTTCATTGCCATCATGGAGGTTTTCCATTAAAGCAAGCCAGTTGTTTTGTTTTGTTTTTTTAAGACTTTATTTATTTATTTGACAGAGACACAGCGAGAGAGGAAACACAAGCAGGGGGAGTGGGAGAGGGAGAAGCAGGTTTCCCGCAGAGCAGGGAACCCGATGCGGGGCTCGATCCCAGGACGCTGGGATCATGACCTGAGACGAAGGCCGATGCTTAACGACTGAGCCACCCAGGCGCCCCAAAGCAAGCCAGTTTTATATTTGCACGTGGACACTTAAATCTGATACTTACAGATGATAGATTGTCTGTAAAGATGAACTTGGTTGATATCATTAGGTTTATGCTTTCAAGTTTGATCCTTGAAATAATTCAGGTAGAGGAATGCCAGTCCCGTCACTGAACTGTGTTTGAATCTTAACACACTACAATTCAGTTCCTAGAGCTCCAGTATGATGTAATTAAACTGTCAGAAATTTTAATATGGTTGCTCATGAATGTCTCTATTGGTTCTGATTTATTCTGTAAGGCATACTATTGCTAAAGCAGACTTACTGCCATTAAAAATGCCTCATGTTCCACAACTTGGCAAAATTTGCATCCGTAATGGAACAAGGAGCTATAATGATCCCTGCAGTTGTCAGAATTCTGTTCCTCCTGGCAATATTTCATTCATTCCAACCTCACCAGATAACGGTGGTTTAAACTCACAGGAAGAAAGAAACTAAAGATGCTCTATTTCATGTTTTCATTTCTAGAGGCATAAATATAAGCAAGTTGTGTGTGTGTGTGTGTGTATTGGTAGGTAGATACCGCAACTTCTTCTTCTGTCTTGTGATCTTAACTTTTCAGCACTTATTTCTTGTCCTTAGTATTTGAAAGAGGTTTTCTGTGGTATGTTACCATGAGCCTCAAAGAAGGAGAGGTTTTCTGTCTATCCTAGGTCCGTAAGCCCTCCACTGTAATGATGACATTCAGCCTTCTCTCCACCTAGGATATGATTTTTGTCTTAGTGGTGAACATCGTGTCAAGGATTCCTTTAGCTTACACTTTTAAAAACAAAGATGAGGGGCGCCTGGGTGGCTTAGTTGGTTAAGCGACTGCCTTCGGCTCAGGTCATGATCCTGGAGTCCCTGGATCGAGTCCCGCATCGGGCTCCCTGCTCGGCGGGGAGCCTGCTTCTCCCTCTGACCCTCCTCCCTCTCATGTGCTCTCTCTCTCTCATTCTCTCTGTCTCAAATAAATAAATAAAATCTTAAAAAAAAAAAAAAACAAAGATGAAAACTTATTAATAAATGCAGGACTATAAACACAGATGAAAAGCCAAGTGGCACTGACGAAAGGAAATGACAAGCATACTTAAGTCATTAAATCACTGGCTGCCCAGTCATTTCCAAGTCAGACATGAACCTGAGGTTGTCCTTAAGCATTTTCATTACTGTTGATTTGCCAAAGCAAGGTCTTGTTTTCGACGGAAGTGACAATGTACTGAACAAATAGAGCTGGAAGTTAATATTATAAAAAATTAGTTTCTGGAGACCTTCAGAGTTCAAAGTAATTTTGTTTCCAATGAAGAAATTTGTCCCTTACTGCAAATGCTGTTTGAGGTGTGTCTGTAACACATCCTTCATCCGTAGAGACACACAGATCAACAGAATCTACAAGTGGACTCGCATTCCCAGAGGAGGACCATCCCTCCCTGAATTCCTTTTTGTCCAAAACCTCCTTCTACCCTCACATAAAGAGATTCTCAATCATGAAGAAAAAAGTTTCCCCTTCATAAGCCTCCAAAAACATGATGATGATAAAGTCGTCCCATGTAACAAAGAGGAAAGGAATCTTCCTCCACAGAATCCCCCATATCCACAGTCCTTTGAAACTTAGTATTTACCTATCCCATTAGACTTCAAAGGTACTTGAGTTTTTTGTATTTGTGGTTAAATATCAAAGGAAAGAGTGGGGAAAACACCTCTGTGTCGCCACTCCTTCCTTACCTTCATCAAATGAGGGCAAAATGTCACATACTCACTTCCTTTTGTGTTGACGAGACACACTGCAGGTGTCTAATCGTTTTTTTTTTTATTACAAAGAAAAAACGGTTCACATCTACTAATGGGGCATAAGAAATTTACGTCGACTTTATCTTAACTTCTAAAGAGAGACACCGTTTTCTTCAAAGACAAGGGCATAGATCAATCCCTGCATGGAATTCTTCTTCCTGTGAAGGAGTCATTCCCTAATCATTCAGCCTTGACGGGTTAATTTTATTTGTGCTATTTCCAAGCAAGTGGAAATGAATTTATAATGACTTTTTAAATGTGATCGTGGGCTTTTTCTCTAGTTTCTCTCTGTTTTCCTTAAGCGTAACGTGCCATTGTTTGTGCTTGCTTTCATTAAGGCGAGGAAGACCTGCTCAGTCCTCCCCAGGACACAAGCACAGGGTTAGAGGAAGTGATGGAACAACTCAACAACTCCTTCCCTAGTTCCAGAGGTAAGCTCCACGACGTGCAAGTAACTCACGCCTACTGGAATTAGGCCTCCCGTTTCCACACCCAACTAGCCTGTGTATATTCCATGTTTAAATGAGCACGTGCTGACAGAGTGCCACTTGGGGATCGTTGCAGGAAGCGAGTATTTTTCAGGGCTCAGTTCTGTTTTGGATGACCAAATTGACTGGTTTGGGATTCTGGTTGAATTCAGATACCTATAGAATTCAGATGCCTCTAGAAGTAAGAATATTAACTTATACCTTTACTCCCTTTGCGCATTAGTCTGGAGAGTTAATTATGAGATCAGTTTTACTTAAGAGCAATGATGCTGTGACTTCAAGAGACAAAGAACTTCATGCCCTGATGGCACCTTTCCCCGGGACACATACTTACCACACGATACGGTGAAATCTAGAACATGGCTAGTATACGGTGGTGGTGGGGACTTGGACTTCTGATGCCCTTGATATTTAAAAATTGAATCTTACCCCATTATTTAAATACAGGTACAATTAAATCTTTATATACTAGTCTGTTGTTGTTGGTTTCACTGCCATAGATGGAATACGGTCTTTGCAAAGAAAGACATTAATAATATGAATGCCCTTATTTCCCACCATCCCTTTGCCCGTATTTTTCCCCTCATATAAAAGCAGCATTTTACCCCACTAGCCAGTCTGAGCTTCAGATGTCTTAGTTCATCCAAGGAGGTTTCGCTCCCATTGTTAGCATTTTGGAATATTTATGTTAGTTTATTGCTCTGACATAAAACAGAGTCACTAACGCACCTCCCTTGAGTGAATAAAAAGAACGGCAGCAGCCACCTATAAGGAAATGGAGGGAAAACCTAGACAAGCCAAAGGGGAGAACACAAGTCTTTGTGGCCAGTGATTGGCACCCCTCATGGGCAGCCCCAGAGGGAAGGGCGGCCGAGAGTCTGGCTGTTTGTTCCTCTCCATAAGAGCAATGAGGAGGCTGTCGGGAGTCATGGGTTTTTCCTATCTTTCTGTTCCATGTCAGCTAACAATGGCCGTTTCCGAGCTGCTTGATGTACGAGCGAACACTGTGCGGTGCACATTAAAAACAGTACCGTTCTCCTAGAGCGTTGCTAAGGAACCATCAGGGGAGCTAATTTTAAATGTCTGCACCAGCCATGTTTTCACTGCTGAGTGCCTCTGATGTGTTGATTTTAACACCTAAGAACCTTCTCTGTCTTCCCTCCACCCCCACGTCCCCCACCTGCCACCCTCAGTCTCCATCACGACTCTCTCGGCTGTCTTCTCTACCCGGATGCCATGGTTCAGGAGAAGACCACATGCTGGTTGGACAGATATCAAATGCTCTCCCCTTTCTCCTGTCAGCTTCTAGGAGCACCTACTATGTACTAGTGGAGGCTTAGGGATGCAAACAAGGAGGGCCCAATTCCTTGCCTTCAAGGGGCTTCGGTTGACTGAGGATGTAGACTTCCGAAGTTCCCACTACAGTATAGTATTGTTGCTGTGCTGGACAGGGCTAGGACATGAGTGACTCTCAGAAGCACCCTTTGGCCTAAATAGGAGGGGTTCACCTTAGGCACAGCAAGGGTCTTCTTCAAGATGACACAGCTAGAACTTTGGGCCCCCCACGTAGCACATAGTTCCAGTGGTCCCAACCTATCCCTTGAAGGTCACAGATGGATACCTCGTCCCAGTCTCTTCAACTACAAGCTTGTGTACCTGCTCTGTGAGAAGTTAGTGGCTGCCATGTTGACACCCTGGGCTTTTCTTTTCTTTCCCATCTGAACAACCAGAGTATAGCGCATAAGAAGCTACAGCACGGCTCGTGACTCTGCTCGTGACCCATCCTCATTATCTTTAGGGGGAAGGTCTTTGCACCTTCCCCCTGCATCCCCCCTTTAGTCCCTGAAGCTGGATACCACATGGGTATGGAAGAAGCCACCTAGAAGAGGAGAAAGAGACTGCTGATATGTTTGGCAGTTAGCATCTCTGATGTTAAATTCATTTGTGTGATGTTGATTTACTTATATGGAAACTTGGGGAACTTCAGGCCACCTGGATAGTATTTACTAAATCCACACTTTCGGAAGCATACCTTCCCGTGAGTGCTAATTTGAGTTCTCAAATAGGGGATAAGGAGGCTTTGTCTGACCAATTCCATTAACTGAGTTCCTACTTCTTCAATAGTAGGCTGGTGGCCTGAGACAATTTATTTTCCTGAGGAAAACAATCAGGATCTGGCTATTCTTTCTCTGATGCTATTACCTTGACACTTTTTTTTCTTTTTTTTTTTTTTGTTTAAACTACTTCCTGACAAATTAGGCCTTAAAATTGGGCCTTTACTATTCTGCACCCAATTCCAATGTGTGGGAGTTCTTCCCACAGCACCAAGCAATTCCGACACCACCTGGGTGTCCTAGGATCCAACTCATTTCAGACACCATCTACCCGGAGAGAGTATCAGAGTCCACCGCTTGAGGGCTCAGTCCCCCAAGATCGCCCCCACTTCACTTCAGAGACCAGTTGCAAGACCAGTTTATTGCCTGGGCTTCTGACCCCCATGCTAAAGACGTAAAGGTTCCAACAGCCCCCTTCTTCAGTTCAATTACTTTGCTACAGCAAATCCTTAGCAGATCACCGTGTAGTCTGAAAGGATAGAACTCAGGAACAGCCAGATGGAAGAGACACGTAGGGCGAGGTAAGGGGGGGAAGCGTGCGGAGCTGCCTGCCATGCTCCCTCCAGCTGTGCTGCCCTCCCAGCACATCCACGTCTTCACCAGCCTGGAAGCTCTCCCTGCCCAGTCCTTTTGGGTTTTTCGGGAGGCCTCGTTGACATGGGTGTGATCGATTAAATCATTGGCCATTGGTGACTACCCTCAGTCTCCAGCCCTCCTTTCCATCCCCTGAGGTCGGGGGGGTAGGGCTCAAAGTTCCAACCCCTAAACCCAGAGTTGGCTCCCCTGGCACCCAGCTCCTAAGTGTACCTACGCCTTTTCCAAGACTTGCCTCATTAACATTACAAAAGATACCTTGCTGCCTCTCTTCACAGGAAATTCCAAAGGTTTTAGGAGCTCTGTGACCTCAAAGGGGATTAAGACCTAATATATATTTCTTAATTCTAAATCACAATCACAATTCTAGATCACCCTTTTCTCCTCAAATTCAAATGGATAAAAAGTCTCATCATTGTAAAAATTGAATGAAAAATATACATATGGTAGGGTTTAGTGGGAGCATCTTACCAATCGGGAGGTATGTTAGGTTGGTATTAAGCAGAAAATGTTGAGTCTTAAACATCTTAGGCTTACAGGCCATCCAAAAAGGGCGGGCCCTGAAAGGTCCTTTTAGCATTTCCGAGGACCCAAACTGTGGCTTTTGGCCTTTTGACCATTGTCCATGCCAGGAGAAACATTTTACATCTCAAACTGGATTAAGGATATAAAATACATTGTGTGTGTGTGTGTATACACACACATATGTATATACCCACCATGTATATATGCCACACATGTATGTGTCTAGTCACATACACATACAAAGATCAGAAACAAAAGATTCGTGAACCAACACTTCCTATCTACAATTAATTCACGCTATTTCTCTGTTTTATTTATTTAAAAATAAAATGCTGGTTGCAACCCACTTAGCTGATTTTCAGATCCAGTGGTTTAAAAAAATACGGATCTGACTGACCTCGGTGTTCCTTGCCCAGGTGCACATGTTTTAAAAAATTACATTTTTTTAAAACTTCCGCCATGGAAGTTGTTTTTGCCAAGACCTTCCTAATATCTCAGAGGACATGGTGCTTTTAATCTAAGTCTGCCGCCCATGTTCCCACTGCTGTGTTAGAAAGAATGAAGTTCACAGTTGCTACAGCTGTTTCGGGCAGCTGTTTGAGTAACTCAAAACAGATGTCAGAGCCAGAGGTCTGACACTTAGTGGAAATGTGCTATTAAATACCACCTCATGGTTTACTTAACTCTGCTAGATAATTGCCCACAGGGGAAAAGACTTTTTAAATAAAATATTACGCTTTTCACACATGTAAAGCGTATAAATAGGGAAGTTTTGCATTTTAAATGTACAACTTTTTTGTTACCCTTTGCCACAGTCTTGACTTCAGGCTCAAGTCTTAAGGTATCGGCTAAACTTCCCCTTGCATTTTCACTCCAAGTCCCTGGAAGCCTGAAGCGCCTTACTCATGGCCATTTGGCAAGTTAAATTAAACCCCTGATCTTATCTCGCTGGCCTTGCTAAACTGTTATGCAAATTAATAAAGGGGTTGCGTGCTCCTCCCTCTAGTGAAAAACTGCTAGCCAACACTGTCCTGCATAATAGCCCCTATAAATTGTGGGGTGTTCAAGGTATGAATGTGCGTGTCTTTAGCTCTATGCTGATACCTTTCCTGGTTAATCTCTAGACAGAGTTATTTGCAGCCATTTGAGGGATTTCAGTGACTCACTGTATATTAAACACAGAACATTAGCCAATTTCTAATCTATTTATCTACCAGTGATGTGTCCCTCTGTCTATAAATATACGTAGAAGTTGAATTCCGCTGTAATAAAAATCATTTTCTACTATAAGGCACTTTCTAAATCTCCACCCTTATTCTATAGGAACAGTACATGGGTAGAATGTGTAATAAACGTATTTTTAAAATAAACAATTTTAAGTGACTTGTCCCTAGGTCTCTGATAGTTTTGCATTCTGACAAAGGTATTTTCATCTGTATGTGCATTTACGAAAGAAACGCTTCCATAGTCAGTGGTATGGTATTGGCTTCTCTAAAAGTCAGGTGCCACTGTATACTAATTAGTGAACACTGGGATCCAAGATAAGCTCTTAGTGCAACAGGACAATTCAAAACACAGCGAATGGTGCTATTCTATTTCTATTTCTGTTGTCTGTACAAGGTCTTACCTAGTGACCTGGGCCATATTATTTTCCTCCCCAACATCCATGCCATCCTCTCTCATATGACCCCCCCTCCATAAAGCCCACAGACATTCTGTTAACTGCCTCTGAATTAGCCACCCAACAGCAGTGCAAAATGTGCCATGTTGTAAAATGCAAGTCTTGTCTGTGGTTCTTTTATGGAAGAACTGCATCAAGACAAGATCACGTGTCCCCTCTCGGGCACCACTCTGTTTCCTCTCTGCTTCCATCAATTTTGAGCTGTTATTCCTTTACACCAGGGGCCAACAAACTGTGGTCCAGGAGCCAAATCTGACCCACTACCTGTTTTTAAGTCTTGTTAGAACATAGCCACACCCATTCATTTACACATTGCCGATGGTCGCTTTCTCACTCCAACGAGGGAGTAGTTGTGGTAAAGTTGAACAGTTGCTATAGGGAGAGTGTAGCTTGCGAAGCCTAAACTGTTCACTGTATGGCCCTTTACTCAGAAAGTTTGCTGACCCCTGCTTTATGCTATCATTGTTCATTCTAGCTTGTTCCGTCCATACGGTCACACACTTCTCAGTGCCGATCAACTTTCAGCTCAACAAAACTGTGCTTTTTGAATGGACTTGTGTATTTATGTCCGTGTTCACCAGACATCATACATGTTTCAGTCTTCAAAGTATAGCCATTAGAATCGTCTCTCACTTGTGATAACATAGAAATCCTAAAAAGGGACTCATTCTTCCTTAACTTTTTCAGTTAGTGAACAAAGATTAAGAAGCTACAGCTACCCGCCCCCGCCCCCAAAACAGTCAAGTCCTGAGATTCTAACCCTGAATAATGAATCATCTCAAGTTCCTACTGCCTGAGGGAACTTGACTTCTCCAGACCTGACCACGCCCTTTATTCAGACGCAGGGTTCCCCCAGCCTATTTCCTTCTTCTCTTGATTCATTTCCTGACAACATACCCACATTGCCAGATGGACACCCTAAGTGAAGGTCGAAGGAAACTCATTTCCAAAGAATGTATTCATGAAATAAAACTTAACTGGCACTTGAAGCTTCTTTTACTGGTAAAGAATGTTTTTAAGTGGCGCAACCAAAATAGCCTCTGTTTTGTCAGTGTAGAAACTAGTCCGCTACAGTAGAAAATATTATTTAACGTTCTTTAAACAAAAAGCAGAACTTCCTTTGGTACTGTGGTAGTGAGCTCATCGGAACCCAAGTGATGACGGCGGATTTTGAAAGAGATCAGGATTAACGTAGCTCTGGAAGGCCCACTGTACGTGAAACATGGCTTCTGAAGAAGTACCCGAAACAAAACCCAAGTCATTTGCTGCATATTTGGCAGTGGCCAGTGGATACTGAGTTCAGAATACGGCTTGGTGTAGAATAAAGACATGTAACCTTTATCACTCAGGGAACCACTAATTACATTCTGAAACTAAATCATACTGCTTTCTAACAACACTCCTTCCTGAAGCTCTTAAGTTTTAAAAATAGACCTAAGCGTAAGCCAGAACAAGTTACCAGCCCTTGGCATGCAACTTAAAGGGTAACAGGCAAGGCCAAGTTGCTGCAAACACCAAAGGACTCTTGACCATGGTCTAGTGGCTACCTGACTAATTCAATTCAACCAGCATTCATCAGCTTCCCATAATATCGAGGTACAGAAGTTTTGGGGATACAGAGGATGGGTAAGCGATATATGGGCCCTGGCCTCAAGGACCTCACAGTCTTGTAGGGGAAGGTAATGAATTCTATGAGACAGTATAACCACAAAATAACAAAGATGAAAAAAGGACTTGATAAAGGAGTGGAAAGGAATGGATGAGTAATTCATGCTGGGATTCATCTGAGCTATTAAGAATGAGCTAATGTTCTCCTCCCTCCCCTTTTTCCTTTCATCTGGTATGGGCCTACCACTGGCAACACCCACAACTGAGGAACCAGTACCCCTTTTTCTCTCTTTCCCCTGGTTTGAGGAACATCATGAATATCTTGACCATGCTTATATGATCAAGCATGCAGTTTTTATACTTTTTAAAAAGAGATTTATTTCAGAGACCGTGTAGGGGGTGGGCAGAGGGAGAGGGGAGAGAGAATCCCAAGCAGACTCCATGCTGCGCGCAGAGCCCAACGCGGAACTCGATCCCGAGACCCTGAGATCACGACCTGAGCCAAAACCAAGCGTCAGACACTCAACCAATTGAGCCCCCCAGGTGCCCCTGCAGTTTTTATACTTCTAAGAAATCTCTGACTCACTTGGGAAAATTCGGAAGGAAGGAAAAGAGGGAGGGAGGGAGGGAGGGAGAATCCTACTTAGAAAACCTTTCAATGTATCCTAGAAGTTTTAGACCCTGAACTTGAGTTGTGAAAGATTTCTTTTGGAATAGTAGAGCCATACTTCTTTGGTCTGGACGGGTAGTCCTCACATTGTTCCAGGGTGCTTTAGTCCTTGCAGCCGCTGAGCATGGGGGGCTCTGGGCAAGGGGGGGGGTCAGGAGATGCTGTACAGGGTCTCCCACAGCTCTATTTTTATCTGCTCAAGTCAGAGTCTGAAAACCAGTATTTCACTTGAAGGCCCTGGTGATGAGAGGAAATTGCAAGCCCCAGACATGCTAGGTATGGTCAGAGGTCCCTAGTGTTCTGTCCAATTATAAATATTACCATAGAAAACTTGACCAGAACCTGCTTTTCAAAAATAAATAAACGCATACAGTCGGAGGATTCTCTAAAATAAACAAGGCCGGTGGGTCTTTAGCCATCAACTCTCAAGGTTCCTGGTATCTGTTGAATTATGAGAAGGAAGTTGAGGGTTCGTTCCTGGATCTGTCTCTGTGGCTTGCCCCTTAGTGGGACTCATCTCCTTCCTCCCTTTTTTTTTTCTATTTTCTCAAATGCCCCCAATCTCATCCTGGGCATGCTCAGCTTCTACCAGATAGAAGGAGTTCTCCCAAGGGGGTGGAGTCCCGCCTCTGTGGCGTTTCGCCTTGTATTTGGGGTGCAGACTTTTGGCACACACATCCATTCCCGTTTATGTTTCGGTGTATTGTCAAGTTGAGAGTGAAGAGATTGAGATTTTTGGACATTAAGCTTGAGGTTCTGAAGTTGTCCTTGAAAAACAATGCTCAATTTGTCAGATTCCTCCGCTGTACCAGCTTTCATCCAGTTGAACACATGAACTCTATGGATTCTGTAAGTTATGTCTCCTGGATCATGTTACCTGTTTTATACTGATTTTAAGTGTATGTAAAGGTTATTTGACTGGATGTGTCCTTCGGGTTTTTTTGTTTGTTTGTTTCTGGTTGTTGTTGTTGTTGTTCTTTTTTTCCAGAAGGGAATAAATGAATTGTCATCTCAACCTTTGTTTGGTAAAAGCAGCAAAATTGGTATGAAACTGTATATTTATGCATTTTTTTTCCTTTCTGATATCTCTGCCTCTTCCTCTCTCCATTATTAAAGGAAGAAATACCCCTGGGAAGCCAATGAGAGAGGTTAGTGAGACTCAGGCTCACAGCCACGGCTTCTGTGTGTCTCATCGCGCTTTCTGTGTTTGGCGTTTGTGTAAGAATTGTGTGTGTGCACGCGCATGTATGTACTACATGTGTCATCATGTCAGGATGGTAGTCACCTCTCCACTTGCAGCTCATGAGGAACATTCTTCAAATGTTCATTGCCATTGTCATCACCATGACGACAGGACCAGGGGTTGGGGGAGCAGGAATCTCTATAAAATGGCAACCCTTGGTAGTCCCTAGGTCGTTAGCGTGCAGTTCATCATCTGTTGCCATTTGTAACGCAAACAAAACCCTCAATGTAAATTTAGCCTCAAACAGAACTGAGGAGTCCTCAAGTTTCTGTGTACTTTCAGGACCCTAGCTAGCATTTTTCTGCCAGTGCCCTGGGCTTTTTTATTCTTCTGGAATGACTTCATTTTGTTATTTTCTTTTTTCTTCATTCCTACACTCCTTTCCCACTCCAGCTAACATTTTTTTTTTTTTGAGCACTTACTGTGCCAAGCACGGTTGTAAGCACTTGCCATCTTTTTCATGAGGTAATCTTCATGCCAAGCCTATGAGGTAGGTACTCTTATTAACCCCATTTTACAAACAGGGAAACTGAGTCAGTGAGAGAGTAAGCAGTGTGTTCAAGGTGACAGAGCCAGAATTTGAATCCAGGCAGTCAGGGTCCAGAGCCACACTCTTCTGCTGAATTGCCACCTGAGAAAATGGTGTCCAAAAGGCTCGCATCACGTCAGCTAGCCCTTTAGAGGAGCGCTCTGTTCTTGCTTGGCCTTTGGAAACCCGGATAGAACATAACAAGTCAGGGATAAACATTGAATGTTGGAGTCCTGAGGGTGTTTTTAAGTGCCTATTTATGGGATCAAAGGGGGGAGGGTGCAGTATTATCACTGAATGTGGTGTGAGGTTTTTTAGGGAAAGCTGCTGCGTACTTTTATCAGAAAGAGCGTCTGAACGTTCAGTTACCTCATCAAAGGACTAGTAGATGACAGGGTGTTGAGTGACAGCCCGAGGGAAACCAGCTTGTCCTTACCAGGAGTTTAGCGTGAAGGATGGGAGAAGGAAAGCTCTTCCATGGGTGGCCGTAACATCTACTAACCTGGGAGACGGGTTGGACGGGGAGGGAGTGCTGACATGAAAAGATTCTAGATCCTTAGCAACAGGCTAGACGAGAGTAGTGTTGGATTCATTTGAACATAAGGAGTCATACCGGAAGTCTGCCAACACCAGGCCAGGCGAGTGTAATGACTTTAATGATCCTTCAGTGTGGCTGCACCAGTGCTGTCTTCCAAGGCTTGGGACACTGGGGTCCTGGGGATGGGGGAGGGGTAGGCTGGGAGGAAAAACACAGGAAACCTGAATTGGTGAAGCAGTGAATGCTCCTGACGGTTTGCCTGGCTCACGCCCTTCTTATGTGAGGCTTCTTGGGTTCATTCTTATGGTAAGTGCCCCTTACAGTTTCTCTTGCCGTCTTATAAAAAGCCGCACCTTAATTGTGACCGCCCCGAACAGGTTTCTCTCATGCACAAATTTTAGAAAAGGCCCGCCCGTGTATCATTCAAGTCACAGAGGCCGTCAGAAACTTTATTACCTGAGCCATATTACAGTCCAGCTACATTTCCAGAAAACCCGAGAATCAAAGTGATTTTTGGGGGGTTACAAAAATTACCTCAAAGGTACAGTGGATCAGATAGTTTTTCAAAGATTAAATTATAGAGAAGAGAAACACAAATTTCACTGCACTACTCCAGCTTTGCTGTGGCCAAGTGAATGCTAACCATTTATTTGGGAACTGTACTTTAAAAACAAAAAAAAAACAAAAATAGAGTGCCAGATTGCTATTTGAGGTCTTGGGTCTCAGCCAGAAAGTCTCCATTCCAATCACTGCGGAAAACAAGTCCCTCAGGCGGCGGTGGCCTGGGAGACTAAACGTGTTGCAGTTCGCGCCAACTTGGAAAAACAAAGCACTGCCCTAATGTTCAGTGCATGGCGCCTTTGCGCTCAACAATCCTCGCTTAAGAATGGATTAAACTAATACTTTCTGTGGACGCATTTTCATGCTGATTTGGGCCAGAAGCCGACTGCCGACGCCCACAGTCCGGCCTGCTTCTTGGTGCCTGTCACGGTCATAGTATGAGATTTTAATTTTGGGCTTCAGAAAAATCTGTCAGGTAAAATTAATGACCTCACTAATGTTCTGCCTCACACACATGGATCACAGAACCAGCATACAAATCTGTTTTCTGTGTCTATATCACACTGCAGTTTTAGGCCTCCAGTGGATTGAGTTATGATTCTTTGGGGCAGTATTTTGTCAAAGAGAGAGAATTTTTTTTCCTGGGCTCTAATGCAAACCTCCATGAAAAACATTGCCATCATTATTCTGGTGAAACAGGTATTTGTGAATAAAGTAACCAAAGGCATACTATAGTTGTGGTGAGGGGACTCTGAAGGTTCTTCTTTTTTCTAGCACAGGGAGAGCTTGAGGTCATTTGTGAACATTTAAAACGGTCCAGACAGGTGAAAGGCCACCTCACCTTTTGTGGGAGGGTGTGGGGTGTATTAAGAATAATCAACCTTTCTTTTACCTAGTCACTTTTTAAATAGCAGATACCCCTAGAAATGATGCCTCTGGAGAGTCTCAAGAATTTTCCTTCTGGGTAGTAACACCATTTCAAGGAGTAGAAGCACCGCTTGGCTCTGTGATCTACAACTGCATTTACTTGTGAACTGCATTCCACATTCCCTAGCACAAAGGTTTAAATAGGTACTTTTTATGATTATCATCAATAAGCCAATGGGAAAAATGAGTTCTTCCCTGTTCGGTTTAGGTCTTGTAATACATTCTCTACCTCTCTGGTAGATTCCACTATAGCTAGATGTGGGTGATGAGAAATAGTGTGCATTCTATTCAGGTATCAGGTTGTCAGCGTCTTGGGTTTTGTTTGTACTGGCTTCATTAATCGCTGCTAAGACAGCAAGTCATTAAAAATTTGCAGGTCGTCCACTCGTTTCCAGTTACGCACGAATAATTGGGTAGGTCTCCCAGGGTTTGCTGGGCCGTCCAAAACAGATACAGAGGAAGCCCTGGAGCCTGGGGGCATCAGGTATAATATGGTGCTCTAAGGAGCCGCAAAGAACCTACTGGGTCCTCCGGTGGTTTCTATGGTTTAGAAAAGCCAAAGACGATTTCAGTCCTTCACTGAGGCTGCCACGCTCCCGGCCCACTCTAGGAGTAGAACAGCTGCTTTGTTCAGGTTTTTGTCTTTGCCATCGCAACCAAAATCCCACGTGATTTTTTAAAACCTAACTAGTTGTCACTGAAACTCTTTGCGCTGATAAAGCTCAACAAGATTTACAAACGTGACCACCTTCGTGTAAATGGCCAAAGGGTGTGAAACTTTTAGTCTTGACTTGATCTGATGCCATCACTGGATAAGTGCCTGCCTCTGAATCCTCTTCACACCCTCTCTCTCATGTACTGAAAAACGGTATGGCTCTTGAAGTAAATACTAGAACAGAATTCCTGCCCTAGTCTATCTTTAATTTTTACAGGGATTTTAACAATTACGAGAATCCGTAAAGTTGATACATGGCAAGGTAGTAATAGCCTCGTAAAGCATTTCTAGTTCCAGGGGCAGTACTCCAAGAGCAGGGAATGATTTAGTAATGTCCAAGAATTAAAATTAGCCATATAAAAAGATGGGACATATAGGAAAAGACAAGTCACAAAATAGGTTTCAAATTATCTTCCCCTAGATCTGA